TTTGTTTGCATTGTGTGGAACATAATGGAGGGGTTGTTATTTGAGATTTTGTATGCAGATGATTTAGTCTTGATGGCTGATAGCATGGAAGAATTGCAGTTAAAATTTGACAGATGGAAAAGTGTTATTGAAAAGAAAGGGTTAAAAGTTAATATTGGTAAGACGAAGGTAATGGTGAGTGGGGAAGGTGGGGAGCGAGTGATAAGTAAAATAGACCCCTGTGGGGTATGTGATAGGAGAGTGAAGGCTAACTCGGTATTGTGTATAGGATGTCAGAAATGGGTGCATAAGAGATGTAGTGGTGTGAGGGGGGCACTGAAAAAGGTGGAAGGCACGTTCAAATGTAAGAAATGTGTTCATGGTGTGATTAATAGGACGGACGCAAGGACGGGGTTGAGTGGTGGTATTGAAAGAGTGGAAAGCTTTGTTTACTTAGGGGATAAGCTGAATGCGGATGGAGGATGTTTGAGCGCAGTTACGGCTAGAGTTCGTGTGGGATGGATGAAATTTAGGGAACTGGGTGGGGTATTGTGTGGAAAGAAATGGTCAGTGAAGATGAAAGGGAGGGTATATAGAGCATGTGAGAGCAGCGATGGTATATGGTGGTGAAACTTGGGTGTTCAGGAGAGAGGAGGAAAGTGTACTGCAGAGGGCTGAAAGAGCTATGGTGAGGATGATGTGTGGGGTTAAAGTGAAGGATAGGAGGAGTAGTACAGAGCTGATGTCAATGATGGGACTGAATGAGGACATTGTGACATTGATAAGGAGATCGATATTGCGGTGGTATGGACATGTGTTGAGAAGGGATGAAAGGGTCGGGATTAGGCGAGCGTTGGAGTTCGAGGGTGAAGGAGTGGTAGGAAGGGGTCGTCCGCGATTTGGATGGAGAGAGCAGGTGGAGAAGGACAGGGTGAAAGCGGGGTTGCGTGATACTGAGGCGAGTGACAGATGTGGATGGCGTCGAGGGGTATTTCGGTTTCATCATAGGTAGCCAAACGGCAACCCCCGATCTCGGGGAAAATGCCGTCTAAACGTGTGTTGTTGTTATAGTTAGTTGCCCATCACTGCCCATCCCCTCCATATAAACGCCACTGGGCATTCACACTAAACTGCTCAGGGATAAAATTAAGAAACTTGTATTAAAATTTACTAGAAAATTTAATTATTGTTAATTATATAAATAACTATTTATTAATATTGTGTATCCTATATAAAGTTTTTCTTA